AATATAAGACAATGCGATACATTGTTTTATTGTACTTAAAGTAATTATGGATAAATAGAATAAACAAGAATCTTACTTTTGTATAAAGTGAATGAATACATATAGATGGAAGGAAACATGATTGAATTTTGTAGAGACCAATCATGAGAAGTGATGATTTCATTAGGTGTATGTTAAGAGAGACTGATGGGAGATAGCAGGGTATTAGTAGACGGGAAATGAACACATCAGTGATCATTTTACAAAAATGCCTGTTAGCACATGTTAGTCATGTGAATTAATGAAAGAAAAGTAAATGTTTGTCATTAATAGTGTAGTATAGCAAAAGCAACACAAATACCAATGCAGTTAATAGTCCAAAACATGCATTAAAAAATATGTTAATCTTACAGGTGAGAAACCTATAGCTGTTTAGTATCAAAAAAGGTGTAATATGGCATTCTCTGCTTAGACTCTAGCTATTTATAATATACTTATTTTTTCAGTTACAGAACGAAAAAAGGCAAATAAGTTCTATAGGTACGAGTGAATCAGCACTACACTGATGCATCACTGATGTCAAAATACAATTTATAACAACAATATAATCACAATAAAGATATTTACATTTCAGCTCCTTCATTTACAAATATTTCTGTACAAACAATGAACTTGAATGAGCTTCAAGTTCAATACTGACTTAACTGTAGGTAGCAAATGTCATTTAGCAATATATAAGCAGAGCCTTTCTAAATCAATTGTACTGTAAACTTATTTTATACAACTACTAAAGCACAGCCAGTTTTTTATTTTCACCAAAATTGTTAATTTTTAAAAGACAGGCTAAAAAAAAACAAGATCAGTGTTTGTTTTTCCATCAGGCATAATGGAACAATGACATTTATTAATTTTGTTTGTTCTTTGTTTACCAGCACATGATATACTGTTGTTAACTTAATTTCAGTGTATAATATTGAAGCAGATTTATATAAAGTAAATGAATAACTGATATTTCCTACCGTTCATACAGTAGTTGCCCTATAATTCTGTAGTGGACATTATCTTTGGCATTTCTTGATACCAAGCTGCCTTTTCTCATCTATATCTACTGTACTTTATCTATGCACACCACGTCTGATTCACATGAATGGAAAACCACTACAATGCCTTGTATATCTAATAACAATTTTATGTACATGTATTTTGTATATATTTGTAATAGAATTTGCATCAAGCACTGATCAAATCGAAGGTTTGTATTTTTCCGGAAGCAAAACCTTTTCTATCAAAAATAAATTCAGTACTTTAATATTTCCTCCGCATTGTATTTTTTTACTGGTGTGCTCTGTGCTCAGTTGTACTTTTATTTTGTACATACTGGGTACATACTTGTTTATACTCGACGCGTCCGGACGAGCGCGAAGGTGCGCGTGGCAAAAATGATGCGTTCGGTGCGCAAGACTGACCCCATTTCGGTTGGTTGTGTGCACGGCTTTTTTTGTAACAGCGCGCGCGGCGCCGTGTCCGAGGATGAACGACTTCAAGCCAAATCTGCCCGAGCATGTACGTCTCACCGCACCGGCATCCAGTTTGCGCGTCTAAACTGCAAAGTTCATTGCAAAGTTTTTTTTGTTAAGGTTTTGTTTATTGTGTGTGATTTTATTTAATGGAAAGCACATTCACTTCTAGTTGTCTTGCTGTTAATTTTAAATAAACGTAGAGCAAGTAGCTAATCAGTGTCTGCTCGTTTATTCAAACTAAGTTGTTCTATAACAGACGAACGTCGCTCTGCATACTCATCTCCTTCATTGCTCTGATTGGTTTTAGGTCTATCCATTTGCGCCCAGAGGCATTTGAGCTACGTCCGTTGGTGACGCCCCTTTGGAAATGATTTGTCTATGAAGCTTTGCCAGACCATAACTCAGTTACAACTGAGAATGGTCTGGTTTTAACCAGGCTATAGGAGACCATAAGTCTGAATGGACATCCATGACATGCGGAGTCCCTCAAGGCTCAATTCTTGCGCCACTCCTGTTCAACCTGTATATGCTCCTACTGAGCCAAATAATGAGAAAGAACCAAACTGCTTACCACAGCTATGCAGACGACACACAGCTCTACTTAGCCCTATCGCCTAACGACTACAGCCCCATTGACTCCCTGTGCCATTGATGAAGTCAACGGTTGGACGTGCCAAAACTTTCTTCAGTTAATCGAAGACAAAACTGAAGTCATTGCGTTTGGAAACAAAGATGAAGTTCTCGAGGTGAATGCATACCTTGACGCTAGGGGTCTAACAACTAAAAATCAAGTCAGGAATCTTGGTGTGTCTCTAGAGTCTTAGTGTCTCAGACTGTCAGTGTCTCAGACTCAGTGTCTCAGACCTTAGTTTCAGTAGTCATGTCAAAGCAATAACTAAATCAGCATACTATCATCTGAAAAATATTGCAAGAATTAGATGCTTTGTTTCCTGTCAAGACTCAGAGAAATTTTCATCACCAGTAGGGTGGATTATTGTAATGGACTCCTCACTGGCCTTCCTAAAAAGACCATAAGACAGTTGCAGCTCATACAGAACGCTGCTGCCAGGATTCTGAGCAGGACCAGAAAATATGAACATATCACACCAGTCCTCGGGTCTTTACACTGGCTCCCAGTTACATTTAGGATTTATTTTAAAGTATTATTACTGGTATATAAATCATCCAATGGCTTAGGACCTCAATACATTGCAGATATGCTCACTGAATATAAACAGATCATTAGGATCACATCAGCTAGAAATACCAAGGGTTCACTCTAAGCACGGTGAGTCTGCTTTTAGCTATTATGCCAGCCGCAGCTGGAACCAGCTTCCAGAGGAGATCAGATGTGCTCCTACAGTAGTCACATTCAAATCCAGACTCAAAACACATCGGTTTACCTGTGCATTTAATGAATGAGCACTTGCAAATTGCCATTTGCAAATTGAATTTGTATGGCTTCCGGTGTCATCCATTTCCATTTATTTTACCTCCACCAAAAATGTCTGTTGTTCTGCTTTGTATTGCAAACTGGTATTAGTTATCATGTTATCATAATCATAAACATAAACAATAGTTTGTAGTGCAAATAGTTACCTCCATGTAAAATATATTGTATCCAAGTGGTAATGCTGCTACTGGTCTTCTTGGCGCTGCGTCTTGGTGATGACGCTATGGGGAATGCCATCAGCATGACTGGTGTCTGAGGCATGTGGACACACACACCAATGTTCAGTGCGGATAGCAGTCCATGCACCCATAAATATTAAAAGGGATCCTGAGTTTTGCCTGAAGGAGACGTGCAGGCAACCCTGAGGCATGGCAACGAGATGCAGCGACCTGTTCCTGTATAACCTCATATAACCTGAGATGTTCCCTTTCAAAAGAATGCCTGCATCACTAAGCACTGAATATGCACAAAGTGGCATAGCACTGAGTGACTCTACGGGACTAGGTGGAGTCAACCCCAAGGGCGCATCCTATGTGACTTGTGCAAAAAGTTGCATAGTGGTACTATCCCCTACAAGCCAGTGTGCACAGGCCTTTGGGCAAAACATTACTCCCTGTCTCTGTGGGACAGGCCTCAGCCTAAAACCCAGAGCAGAGCTGTAAGGGGGATAAACAACATAGCCTTGGCTATTGTCCGGTATCCATTGCTAGTGCCTCTGCAATATTATCTCAGAGACTCTTAGAGAGCAGCCTACTGAAGGGAGCATACAAGGTCCTAAAAACCTCACTAATCAGTATTTCCACCTGAGCGTTCTGAGAGAGACCACAGACCAGGAGTAGACAGCTACTTGTTTCTCTATAATGCAGTCCACCTCTACTCTTTCCCAGCTGCAACCTTCAGTATTGCTACCCATCCAATTTCTCAATTTCTTGAAAATCATTTGTTACGTACCCAAAAAGGTACGTATCCATGTTCTGTGACTCTGTGTAATATACCATATACCATAAGCTATTATCCACCAAAATGCAGATTCGTCATGTGACAATTCTTTCACAAATGAGATTGGGGGAAGCATTATGAATTTTGATTTTGATTTGATTTATTAATTTACTTACAAAATAAAAATTTAAAATGTATTAAAATTACTTAATTATTTGCATATTTACTTTTGAGTTGAATATAGTATTAATTAAAAATATTTATTCAAATCTTTCAGTCGCTAGGAGGGGTGGTCAGGCCCCCCAAAAAGCTACGCCCATGATCTGGTCTCTTACTTCCGCATTAAATTTATTAAGAGTAACTGAAAATAGCTTTGCGAAAGTGAAGTGATGTGTCCTTTGCTCATATAGAGTTCAGCTGTCCTGCAGTGAGCATCTGTATATGATGGGGAGTGTTCAGCCTTCATGTTTCCAACTTGTATGTCTTCTAATATCAGCTTTATTAGAATGCAAAGGTAAGTATGAAATCAAATTCCTTTAACCAACATACAAACTAGATATACGCAAAATATCAATGTACTTTGGGTGTGTAAAGGTGGCGTTATGATATGCATATGATCAGTGTCAAGTGTGTTTTATAGCACTTTTCACAGTGGACATTGTTTCAAAAGCAACTTTATAGAAGAATACTGCAGTATTAGTAATAATTTGGAAATTGCTGTTAAGATATATATATATATATATATATATATATATATATAATTTAAATTTGTATAAATATATGTAACCATTTCCTATTTGAAAGCAAGAAGAAAATCATCTATTTCATATTCATCAATTAATGAAAGATCAAAAGGATAAACAATGCAGATTTATTTTTACAGGCATATTTGATCATATTTTCCAGGGGTGCAAATAAGTCTGACCATATACACTGACATTCAAAAGAATAATTTCAGAAAATATTGACAGTATTCATCGGGTTGTGGATTTTCTTTCTCATTTCGTAAAATGTATTAATACACTTAGAGGTAGAACCAGTTGGTAGAAAGTAAATGCTGTTTATTTCTATAAACTCTGTGGTTTCCATGTCTCAGCTCTCTCAGTACGTCTCAGCTCTCTCAGTACGTCTTGTTTGGCTCTTTTTTTCCTTTTAGTGGCGACACAGAGACCCTGCAAGGTCCATCGGTTGAACATAAACTATGTTCAGGGCGACAATATGACTATTTCTTGCCTAACCACAACCCACCCGCTGGAGTCTCTGACAGTGAAACTACGCAGAACAAACCCGGTTCAACACATCCTAATGTATTCAGACAACTCTCCAGCATTAGAGCATCAGAGATGGTCAGTGAGAAATGATGCTGGAAATGTTACACTTGATCTGAAAGATATCAGTTTATCTGATCAAGGTCATTATGAATGTGAAGTCTACAAAGATTGGGACTGCCTTAATGCAACTCTTTTTAACCTAAAGGTTAAAGGTGAGAATGCCAATTTCTGAAACAAGCAAATAACTGCCAGGAAACCTGTTGTAATAAATATATTTCTCTGTTTTCAGAGTGTAAAACTTTGGATTCTGTCCATGCAGCTCCAGACTCTTCAGTGTTGCTGCCATGCTCTGAACATCCTCTACAATACAGAACTGATCAAGTAACTTGGAAAATCTTTTATGGTCACCAACAAACAGAAATAGCTCAATATCGCCCTCCACACAAGCCCTCAAACAGCACAGAGAGTGACCCAAAGCCTCTGTATGAGAGAGCGAGAATACTTGGGAATGGATCTCTGCTTATAAGGGATGCAGTAAACACTGATGGATCATGGTATCAGTGCAGAGTGAGTGAAAAAAACTGCTATGAGGTGAAGCTGGTCATGAAAGGTGTGTTTTCAATGCAGTATTTCTAACCCTAAAGTCTCAATGCAGTATTTCTAACCCTTTGACAGACATTGATTACATTAAAAGATTTTAATTTAAGTTGTGCTATAGATGTGAGTTGGGTTTTGGGTCAGTCAAAAATATTTTGTATTGACAATGGCAATAAATAGGTTGGTAAAATACTGTGTACAATTTATTCTTAAAATTGAGTAATGTTGTGGTGATTATTGTCAGGGTTCTGTCACCTCTGTTCTAGTTTTTTCCTGAAACTGTGGTGACAGGATCCTGTACATAGTTAATGTTTTATATATTAGCTGGAAAATGTGGCTTAACATTTGTATTATTGTCTAAATATGTTCTAAAATGTGATACTTTTCATACTTTAGAAATAATTGTTGTAGCCTACATTGATTATAGGTGAAGATAAGTTTTATTCAACTGCAACATTGGAAACACTTTCCACAACACTGTTAGCCACAGGTAAGACAAACACCTATATGTGTGTGATAAAAATAATATTAAAAATGATTTTAATTAAAAATAATAATAATAATATAACCTAATCAAACTGACTGATTTAAGTTTTTCTTTTCTCTAGTGATCTCAGATGTTTCAACCTCAGCTTACAGTCCAATTGTCCAGACTGAAGGCAACATTGACGCGAGTGCAGAAGTGACAGCTAATCTGACAGCAGTAGTGATGACCGCAATAGTGTCTCTGTGTGTCCTCATATCACTGATCATATGTGTGATTCTTTATTTCAGAAAACGAAGGAGCAACATCAACAGCCAAAGTAAGTCCACAACTGGGGCCCTGAAAAGTTTAACACTGTTGAATTGTTCTTTAACAGCATGTCATACTAGCTTATTGGAAAGAAGAGATCCTAAACATACAGTAGGCTACTGTGGTCCAATCCAATCAGAAACCTAGATCTGCTACACTTACATTACATTTGTTTATTTTGCTGCTATTTTCTTTCAAATTAGTCAATTCAATTGTTTTCTTTCAAATGAGTGAATTCAATTGATGTTTTTATTGCAATTGACCCTTCGCAGGGAGTTTGATTGACAGGCGATCTGACCAATCATAATCCGCCATTCTCCGAATCCACCATTTTTGTCCGACAAAGCAGTCAGGAGAGTTAGTAGATTAACGTTGGAGGATTTGAACTTGAAAACGGAGTGTAGCCTACTGACGTCTTTCCGCGGTTAAAACAACATTCCTTCTGATGTTCATTCATGTTTATTTGATGCTATAAATGAACTAGAAGGAAGAGATGATCGGTTCACGAGCGGTTCACTGAGGCTCTACAGTGATGTCACAACACATTAAATGATGTTTTATTAACAAAGTTCTGGAGGAGCACGTTCAGTAAATTAACACGAGTGGAGTGCACTCAGCAATCAATGATAAGAGGTGTATATATAGATTCAGCAATCTCACCTCACTCCATTGATAGTTTAGCAGCATGCCTCCACCGCCCCTTCTCCACATTTCCAGTCCTAAACACTTACATAGGGGGGAGTACTCTGGGTTCGGGCCAAACTCCGAGCTCGGAGCCCTCCCCCCGGACAGCACGCCAAATACGCATTAAAGCAGCACTAAGTAGGAATTCTGTTTTTGTCAAACAGCGACCCCTAGAGTCGCTGTGGAGTACTTGTACTGTCGTGAATAGCACTCACGCAGAGATGGCTCGCACTCACGGCCGGATCCCCTCCCCCTGTACACCGGTACCTGTTCAGTAGGATGGACGCTGTAATGAGTGGAAATAAGGTATGGCCCCTTTAAGAGCTGCGCGCCTCCAACACCACATGTATACGGCGCCGGGTTATTTCTGTTTGATGCTCATTTTATCAGAAATTTATCAGATCTGTTTTTTGCCGTAAAGCAATTCGTTACCTCGCGAGACCTGATATCACACGATACTTCCTAACACTGAGGGCGGCGGCCCGCCGGCCCAAAGTTGCAAGGGTGGTTTTGCGGCTCACAGGCACCAGGGGGGTGCGAGACGACCACCATTCAACACGAAATCAGTAATATAAACATTACAATGACTCCAAAGCTGTTCGGTTAAGGTAAAAAAAGTTACTTAGTTCACCTTTAAATCTTATCCACTCTAACTACATGTAAGTGTGAACTCGTGAGAGAGCCACAAAACGGTATTTATTGTTTAAATTTCTTTAAAAAAAATGACCAATTTTGAAAGTCAAATTTGAAATTTCAAAAGTCCTGTCTGTCAGTGCGTTGACAGTGTCCTCTTTGCTCCACGATGTGTTTTTCACTGCGTGGGAGAGGCGTAGGTTGTCGGACATAGCAACAGTAAAGTTACAGTAAAGGGGGCGGGTCTTTGTGAACGGTCAATTGTAAGATTTGCTGTTACTGTCAGAAAGGGAAAGCAACCAATGTAAATGTATTTAGGATTTTAATGTTCTTCTGAGTGTGTTGAAGTTAATTTTGAAATACAGCCCATGTCATGCTATCATGGTGATGAGAGCCCTCATGTTGAAAAGAAAGACTTTATTTTAACTTTTATGTCAAATCATGATGATAGAAGTTGATCACATGGTAAAGTAGGCCTACTTACTTTTGTATCTTGTAGTTGAATTGAACTGCTGGTCTTCCGTATCTTATTCTGAAATTTCAGGAGGTAAGTGATATTTATGGTAAGTCCTTACAAAATATATACAACAAATGTACTTGATCAAGTGTTTTAATAAAAGTCTTTCTCTTGCAGGGTTTGATGCCCCATTCAATTCTTTAGTTGAATTTAACACATGAATCATGACCTTGCAACTATTACAACACATGATGACTGACATAATTTTTTTCACAATTTATGCTAAAACATGGCCATATTAATGCATTATGCACAAGACTGCAAATATGCACATGATTCAAAGAATGCATTTACTTTTTTTGGCCAAATGAATTTTTGAACTTGTGAACTGGTGTAAACAAACAGAAGCTTCTGCATGCAAATCAGATGAGGTGTATGATGATTTAAATGAATTACTGTGTTTTAATGTGCTTTTTTCTGGTGTTATTTTTTTTAATAAGTCTTTGAGAAAGTCCTTATTTAGTCATCTGTCACAAATTATATTAAAGGGGGAGAGTCAGTTATACACAAATGTTTTGGGTAATATTCTCAATGTAGCCTAATGTTTATGATTTCATATAACTGAACTTTTTAAATATCCTTTATCAATTATAAATGCATTTTTTTTTTATTATATGATGTTCTTTGAGATCTACTTATAATGTTAGTAAGAATTCTTCATTAAAAACATTTTTAATTAAACACATTAAAAACAACAACAGGCTATTGTCTATTCTGTTTTTTGACCCTCTTTTGAAACACTCTTTTGATTACATTTTGATAGGGGTGCTGCTTTCAAGACTTGGAAGTAAACACCCACTGCTATGATTGGGTAACGGTTTTGCATATTAAAATAATATTATACATCTCCGCCATTACAAATGTGGAAATGTTTTGAAAACATCTGATGTTGAAAAATGGCAACCGGTGGAATTCAGCCATGTGGTACTTGGAGTTACCACAGTGGACAAAGGATAACTTGCAGTATTTTGTGTAAACAATTGATGAGTGGATGTACCATTGTTTGTCATACTGTCATTCTTATATTCATCTTTAATCATTTTCAGTAAAGTGAGTACATATTAAATGATCTGTAACGGACAAGGCAATAGTGTCACTATTACTGTCGGATCCAATCTAGTCAGCACAACATATTTTATCTTCAGTATCTCTTAATAGTGTGCGTTGAACTGTGTCTTGTTTAAAAATTAATCTTAAAAGTAAACTTAAGTGAACAAACAAACAGTGTCTTACTGAAGTGATCTAGAACTTTGTTAAAAGAAAGTTATTCCACGCTTTCTTTATGTTAGTGTAACAAGGAAGGCAATGCAAAGACTGTTTTTCCACAACTAGGCACTACAAAACATCTTTTAAACCTCAGAGGCATTTCTATTATTATTATTATTATTATCATCACTCCATTACTATCTACATATCATTTTAACAAATAAAACAATTTAAATACAACTTCAATTGTCAGTGAAATGTAGCCATAGACTCAATTCAATTAAACTTTATTGTCATTGAGCAAAGTGCAAAGCCAATGAAATACATTTAATATCTAACTAGAATCAAAAAGAAATAGCAGTTGTTTCCAAATAAGAGCAAGAAATATGTCTGAATATAAATGTGCATACATGCATATAAACACACACACACACACACACACACACACACTGCTGTTTGGTGAGTCCATGTCTAGGACAAGTTCATGTTATGCTCATGTTAATGTTTAAGTCTACGTTTATGGTTACTTTTCAAGTCGAGTCATGTTACAAGTTTAGTTTTCCACATCTACATTTGTATCTGTTTTCACATCAATAAATTCCACTAGGGTTCATTAAGCTGACCTTCAGTGGACTCTACTTACAGAAAGCTAGACAGTCTACTATGAACCCAGCAGTTTGTCTCCTGCGTTTACGCCAGGGGAATCGTCCCCTGGAAAACTATGTGAAGGAGTTTTGTTGATTGTGTCATGTACTAGGTTTTAATGAGGAGCCGGATTAGAGGAGCACCTTGCATATCTAATGCCCATTCAAACCCCTCACTGGACTCTGCCCCAGTATATTGACTCTGCACTCTAGTTGAGTGGTTCTTCATTTACTGTGGGAATTTTGGATGAGGGGCCCTGCAATCCCACGGTACCTGCCACGCCAAAAGCCTCTATACGTCATGCCTGCCAAGCCAGAGCCTGTTCATGTCATGGCCATCACGCCTGAACCTTCTTACGTCATGGCCGCCATGCCATAGCCTTGTCACGTCATGGCCATCAGGGCTGCTCAGCCAACATTTTTTTAATACCAATGAGCACCAAGCCTGAGACTCGTCACGCCATGGCCGCCAAACCCGAGCCTCTTCACGTCATGGACGCCAAGCCTGAGCCTCTTCACATCATGGCTGCCAAGCCTGAGCCTCTTCACCTCATGGCCGCCAAGCCTGAGCCTCTTCACCTCATGGCCGCCAAGCCTGAGCCTCTTCACATCATGGCTGCCAAGCCTGAGCCTCTTCACCTCATGGCCGCCACGCCCGGGCCTCCAGCTGTCGTGGCCGCCAAGCCAGAGTCCCCTCACATCATGACCATACAAGTTTCCCCTAGAGATTTTTTTGGGGGGGACTGTATAAACCAAGCTCCAGCGGATGCAGAGCTTGGCCCTATACTGCTTCGAAGACCAGGCCTGCCACTGCTCCATGGTCCAGGTCTACCACGACTCCATGATGCAGGTCTGCCAGTGCTCCACGGCCCAGGTCCGCCAGTGCTCCATGGTTTCACTCACTTCTCCACGGCCCAGGCCCGCCACTGCTCCTTAATTGGCCCAGGTCTGCCGCCGCTCCAGAGTCCAGGCCATTATCCAGGTCCTCTCCCTTTTTACAGCCCTGGCCAGTTTTGGGTCATGTGTTTCTCTGTTCTGTTTTGTGATTGGTTCATTGTTTGATTATTCACAAGTGTTCTTTGTTAGTCATTAGTCTTTATGTATAAATACATGTTTCCATTGTTCCTGGTCTAGCTTTGTTAGAACACGCATAACACGCTTAATTTACCAATACGGCTTTCAGTTTTCTTTAAATAAGGACATTACACATTTGTAAATATTTGTGTAAATATTTTTTCCCAATTATTTTTTTTTTTTTCTATAACCATATTCACATACTTGTAAATAGTACCCCAATTCTTGTTATATGGATTAACAAAAGATACTCTTGGGATTATCCTGGTTTACGCCAATGCCTTTCTATCACCTCCCTTGGTCCCTAACAGCATACACTACAACATCAGTGCTGTAAATGCTGAGTTAGTGTACCTAATCCGACAGGGAAGAATACACATATTATAATCACTCATTCATTATATATACATTGAAGCAGCAGTGGATTACAATCCACCCCCTTCACTGCTTAGACTCCTGCTCTTCATAATACACTTACAGCAAAGCCTTTCTTAATCAACTGTACTATGTTTTCTGTTATGCAACTACTGTTGTCATATATTTGTTATTGTGTGGATAACGCCACTATTAATTAAAAGATCAGACTGTACCTAAACGAGAAACAGTGGATGGACAATGAAGTCAAAAAGCTGCTCAGGACAAGGGACATAGCCTTTAAATCAGGAGATATCTCTGCTTACAGAGTTACCAGTGCTAATCTCAAAAGTGGCATCAGGTCTGCAAACTTAAAGTACAAACAGGGGATTGAAGAAAACTTTAACAATAATTCCAATCCACAGCGAATGTGGCAAGGCATCCGATCAAACACGGACTATATAAAGAAGAATGAAAAACGTCTCGGTTACGGATGTAACCCTCGTTCCCTGAGTAGGGAACGGAGACGTTCCGTCGGATGACGACGAATGGGGTTTCGCTTAGAAAGCCAATCGACTTCGAGTACTACAAAACGAGCCAATGGCAAAGAAATGCCATGGGTCTGCGGAATTTGCATAGCGTAACTCCGCCTCACCTCGTGGGTATTTAAGGAGAACGCTGGCAGCAAATAGGCATGTTTTCTTCGCTGAGGAGCCAAGACTGAGCTCAGGCGATCCCCGCGGTACAGCGGAAGTGGCAGGCAGACGGAACGTCTCCGTTCCCTACTCAGGGAACGAGGGTTACATCCGTAACCGAGACGTTCCCTTTCGTTGTCACTCCGAGTTCCGTCGGATGACGACGAATGGGGATACCAGTCTAATCACGCCACTTCTCAGCTGTCTTCCAGTGCCCTGCGTAAATCTGAGATCCCTGTCGTGAGACTAGCACGGACGAAGGACTCCTATTTAACACAGGAATACCAAGGTACACTGGGGAGCATATCCCAGATCTTTTAGGGAAGTATGCAATTACTGCCAACCCAGAGGGGGGGACTTAAAAATACACATATGACCCGAGGGATGCATATGGGGAATCACTGGGGTGTCCAGCCGCAGGTGGAATATTTCAACCCCAGGGGTGGCAAGGTGGCTTGCCGAGGGAAAGACACATGCTCAAAGAGGCTTACAGTGGAAATACACATGTGGGGGTAGCTCAGAGGAGGTACCATGCACACGGAAGGCACCTAGCCGACGCGCAGGCAATAGACACTGGCGCCAGCGTCAGCAGTGCTGGAGGAGCTCAGGGCTTTCGGGGAAGCTCACCTGAGGAGAATATCGCACGTATCCAGTCCGTGGAGTGGCATGGCGAGCAAGCGAAGACACCTAACGGATCCCATGTTAGCTTGAAAAAGACAGTACACGGGAGGAGACTGGCTCCACTCGAAGATTGTAAAATCTGGCGAATGTGTTAGGTGTCGCCCAGCCTGCAGCTCTGCAGATGTCTGTTAGCGAGGCGCCATGCGCTAAAGCCCAAGAGGACGCGACACTCCGGGTGGAGTGGGCGGTCACACCAAGGGGGCACGGTCGACCTTGCTGCTGGTATGCCAAAGCAATGGCGTCCACTATCCAGTGAGACAACCTTTGCTTGGAGAGAGCCTTCCCCTTCAGCTTCCCACCATAACAGACAAAGAGCTGGTCTGAGGTCCTGAAACACTGCGTTCTGTCTACATAGATGCGGAGAGCACGTACTGGACAGAGCAGTGCCAAGGCTGGGTCTGCCTCCTCCGGGGGCAGCGCTTGCAGGTTCACCACCTGGTCCCGGAAGGGAGTGGTAGGAACCTTGGGCACATATCCAGGACGGGGTCTCAGGATCACGTGAGAGCCACCCGGCCCGAATTCCAAGCACGCTTCGTCAACGGAGAATGCGTGCAGGTCCCCTACCCTCTTG